CTCTTCATGTTTTAGTTTCTTGAATTATGTAAGAAGGGATTAAAAAGCACTTGAGCATCATTACAAAGCCTTTTGATGAATTACTTCATAAGAGTTGCCTTGAAGAAAGCAGAGCCGATTTCATCTGAACTAACCCCAAACCATCACAGATGGCCTTCACTTTCACCAGCCTGCGAGGATCCTTGTAGGCTCTGGAAACACTGGCAGAGTCCTGGCTCAGGTTCCAAGTCTCAACTCCTTTGTCTAAAAACTCTCTGGGAGACTCAAGCAGCTAGCCTGGAGGCAGATACAACCCACAGGCCACTTCAATTAAGTCTATTTCCAGAACCACCCACCCACCAAAGTTAGTAGGGCTAAAGAAACCAAAGCAGAGGGCAAGAGAGGAGGTCCACACAGTTCCCTCTGAGGTTTCCTCGGGCCTGGGAGTCTCTCACCTGGGACAGAACATTTCTACCAAGGGCTTGTGGAAGCCAAGAAGACATCCCACTTATATAGCTGGCCTAACTTTTCCCTTTTCTGCCTTCCGAAGGTTGAGTCATTTTAGCAGCATTCCAAATAGAGTCTTTATGAGAAAAAAAAAAAACCATAATCTCCCGCCTCTACCAATACAAAACGCTCATCTGTAACAACCACTTTTAAAATGAGCATTAAATTAAGTGCTTAGTTGAGAGTTAATCCACTAGGTGGTATTATTAAATAACCAGAGAAGAGATTAGAGCTGCATTCTCTGAAGATTTTAATTAAAAATCTTTATGATACAGAGACTCAATGCATTTAAGATATCAGTTCTTTCCAAACTGCTCTATAGAGTCAACAAAATTCAAATAAAAAATCCTAGCAGAGGGGCAGAAATAAGAGCACAGTGGGCAGAGTGTCTGCCTTGCACAAGGCTGACCCAGGTTCAACCCCCGGATCCCATATTCTCCCCCGAGTGCCACAAGGAGTGATTCCTGAGTACAGAGCCAGGACCCTGAGCATCACCCAGTGTAACCCCAAAAGCTTGGGGGGTGGAGGGGGAGAACAAGTTAACAAAAGAATCTCGGCAGGACTTGTGAAGCTATCCATATGCTGATTCAAAATTTTTGTATGTAAAAATAGACTAGAATGAATATCTAAAAAAAATTTTGTAAAACATGAATAATAAAGTGGCAATGGTAATTACATTACATTGAGCGTCTTTTCAATAAATGGTTAAGTAACAACTGAACACTGGTGCAAAAAAAGTGAATCTCCACCCATATCTCATACACATATGAAAATTTACACAAAATGAACAATAGACCTAAATGCCTATCTAAAGCTATAATCTTTCTATAAAGTATAGAACAATCCTTGTAACCTTAGTCCAGTTTTGGCAGGTAGGGGCACTCAGCAGTACTAACAGTTCACTTCCGGTCTCTGTACCCAGGGCTTCGGGGTACAGAGGTACTGGGGACTGAACCTTGTTCAGCTGCGTGCAAGAAAAGTATCCTACCCACTGTATGCTGTACTGATGCTCCAGCCCTCTTTTTTTTTGTTTTGTTTTATTTTTAAAGAATCAATTAGGGGCTGGTCAATGAGCTGAGGACATGCTTTGCATGCAGGCAGTCCAGGTTCAATTCCGAGCTGGACCACTCATGGTAGGGACCAAAACCAAAACCAAACAGAAAAGGCTAAATCAAATTGTCATTAAAATTTAGAACCTCTGCTCTTCAAAAGACACAATGAAGAGACACAGAGACAAAAACAGAGATTAGAAGAGAAATCACGTATCTCATAAAGAACTTGCACGGTACAATAACAAGGAAAGCCACAGTGTAAATGAGCAAAGTTTAAACAGAAACTTTATCAAATAAGGATGGCAAATAATCACAAATGAATAATTGCCAGTGTCAGTCATTATGTAGCACTGTAGCACTGTCCTCCCGTTGTTCATCGATTTGCTCAAGCGGGCACCAGTAACATCTCACAACAAACTGTGAGACTTGTTGTTACTATTTTTGGCATATTGAATACGTCACGGGTAGCTTGCCAGGCTTTGCAGTGCGGGCGGGATACTCTCGGTAGCTTGCTGGGCTCTCCAAGACGGGTGGAGGAATAGAACCTGGGTCGGCCATGTGCAAGGCAAACGCCCTACCTGCTGTGCTATTGCTCCAGCCCATCAGTCATTAAGAAAATAAAAAATTAAATCTACAATGATGATCACCCTGCATTCCTTAAAATGGCTAAAAATTAAAAAACCTGACAATATGAAATCTTGGGGAAAAACCAGCAACTATAACTCTAACGGGAATGCAAAATGGTACAACTATTCTGGAAAAAGGTTTGACATTTTCTTACAAAGGTAAGCACATATTGACTTAGAACTCAGCAATTCCATTACTAGTGTTTACCTAAGAGAAATGAATCCTCTGTTTTCATATAAAGCCTCAAGTGCAAATGTTTCAAGAGCTTTATTTGTAACTGGCAAAAACGGAATATGACCCAACTGTTTCTCAGTTTGAAAACAATAAAAGCTGTGTCATTGAGTAGTACTCCATTTATAATTCATATAAATGGAGTACTACTCAATGACGAAAAGGAACAAATCACTGTTATATGCAACATGGGTGAATCACAAATGAATTAATGAAACGTGAGAGACCAGACTCAAAAGGATGGTATCCGATTCTATCTGCTCCACATTTCGGAAAAGGCAATTACTGGTGCAGACATCGGAGCAGCAAACTGACAGGGGCTGAGGGGGGGTCAGGACTAACTAGCAGAGAAAACCAGATTTCTGGGTGTGATCAAACTGCCTGGGTCCAGGTTGTGAAAGAATTTTTCTACTGTTATTTGTTACCGAAAGATGAACCTTACTGTGTCTAAATTGTAATAATAATAATAAAAAGGCTCCAAATGAAAACCAGAAGAAACAAATGAAAAACTTACTATGAAAATGACCACAAAGTCTCCACAAGTTAGGGAAAAAACCTTATTAAACCAGACCCATCAACATCAATTCTACAATGCCCTGCGCTTGAACACTTGATCCCTGTGCCAAGCCTGAGCCTGACAGGCCTAGAAACCGTGTCCCCCAATTCTTACCTGACCCAGAGACTGCCTAAGGACGGAGAGGCGGCACAATCACTCCCTGTGCATCTAGGAGGAGGAAGACAGAGCGCCCGCCTGGGCTCCAGCAGTTCCCGCTGACTGCAGAGGGCGCGGCTTGCCCCTTCTTCCGTGGGAGAACAGAGGGAGCCCCTGACCCCCAGCGGGGCCCAGCGCTGCGTCTCAGTTCTGCAGCCCTCACCCCCTCACCCAGAAAACGGAGTTTCACCGAGCAGATGAAAGTAGGCCAAGGCGACAGAGCTCTCTATTCGGGGTGGCAGCCAATCACGGGCCCCCGCTGGACTCAGAGCAGAGGCTGGCCCGGCACTCTCAACCCAAGGGACCGAACTGCCGGGCTTATTTTTCCACGGCATTAACTTGAGGGTTTATGGGTTGTGACCCCAAATCAGTCTCTGCCAGATTCTAGCAGTCTTCCCTGCCACAGGTCTAACCTCGTCTGACCTACCCACAAGAAAGGCTAAGTCGGGGCTGGAGTGATAGCACAGCGGGGAGGGTGTTTGCTTTGCACGTGGCCGACCAGGGTTTGATTCCCAGCAATCCCATACGGTCCCCTGAGCACCGCCAGGGGTAATTCCTGAGTGCAGAGCCAGGAGAAACCCCTGTGCATCGCTGGGTGTGACCCAAAAAGCAAAAAAAAAAGAAAAAAAAAAAAGAAAGGCTAAGTGCCCTGCTAAGTGCCCTGCCCCCGCGCCTGGCTATTCCTCGCCGGGGCCCCTTGGAGAGGAGCGGGTTGAGCTTTCCTCCCCGCCCTGACCAGGGCCCCGGCAGCCGAAGACCTCCAGGACCAGCCATCACCATGCTGAGACCACTCTCCGCACACCTGAAGGTACCGGCAGAGGGACAAAGCCACGTGGGTTCCGGGGCTGAGATCTCCAAGCCTACTCAGATTGGAGTCGAGCATCCTCCACCCAGATCCTCCAAATTCCAGTAGGCGGGGGTCACACCCACCAACTGGCCCCCTGGCGCCGTGTAATCCCATCAGCGGCCAAGACTCTGAGACTATAAAAACCAGCTCCCGGAGGAGAAGAGTGCAGTCTCCTGCCCCCGCGACTGGCTATTCCTCGCCGGGGCCCCTTGGAGGGGAGCGGGTTGAGCTTTCCTCCCCGCCCTGACCAGGGCCCCGGCAGCCGAAGACCTCCAGGACCAGCCACCACCATGCTGAGACCACTCTCCGCACACCTGAAGGTACCGGTAGAGGGACAAAGCCACGTGACATCTTATTATGACATCTCATTCCTACTTTGACAAACTGGCAGGCTACCGAATGTAGCCTGCCCACACGGCAGAGTCTGGCAAACTCCCCGTGGCGTACCCAATATGCCAAATATCAGTAACAATGATGGGTCTCATTCTCCTAAAGAGCCTTGAATATAACCTCAGGGCCAGGATGAAGGAGACGTTACTGGGGCCTGCTCGAGGCAATTGACGAAAAACAGGATGATTTGTGATTTGATTTGTGAAGTGCCCTGACAAGGTCACTCCCATCCTGGGTACTGGGCATGAGAAGCCATAACACGCTGCATCCCAGATCGCCATTGAAACCCAACTCCCCCACCCCACAGAACACCATCACGTTCTTCTACACAGAATCGCCGACTTCAAAATCCTTTTGGAGGGTCTGGGGATTTGACTGGGGTCAAGGGCCTGCCCTCTGTGTGTGAGGTGGGAGTTCGATCCCCAGCACCACCGCAAGTGCCCACATTCAATCCCTGCAGCATTACTGTCTGTGCACCCTGGAACCGCAACCAGGAGTGTGACGTTGGTGGGTACCACAACCACAGGTACAAGCACTGAAGGCAAGTGTGCAATCTCCAGTCATAACCATGACCAAAGAGGGGGAGGGGGTAGGAGGAGGGGAATCCTTGCGAGGTTGTTTTGGCTGGAGGAGTGGGAGAGGATGAAGGACGTACCTTTTAGCTTTCCATCGGTGGATGCCCACTTCTTTGTTTCTGCCGTTAGCAACAGCTCATATGGATGCTCGTCCTCATCCCTCGCAGCACTTCGGGGTCTCATGGCCAAGATCTAAAAGAGAAAAACACCACAGTGCTTCTGGGGTGAACAACTAACACAGAAACAGCAGATGTGGAACGAATTTGAGATTACTGGCTCCCTTTATATCTCAGAGTAAGAGAAAAAAAAATAAATTCAGGTATTACACAGCATCCTAACTGCCTTGCCGGATATGCAACTGTACCTCAAATCTCAATGGCCTCTGATTTCCCTTTCTTTACTCATTGTAGTCTTCCGCATAAAGACTCTGGGGGAGGGGAACAGAGAGACAGCACGGAGGCTGAGCGCGTGCCTTGCATGCAGCCCCCCTGAATCAGATCCCCAAGCAGAGCGCCAGAAATAAGCCCTGAGCACAGCCCAGGGTTGCCCAAACATTACCCCCAACTGCAAAATAAATTCAAGGTTTTCCCTTCCCTTTCTTGTCCCGTCCTCAGTGCTCTGCTTGCTCGCTTTTCCTTGTTCCCAGCTCTGCCGTCTAGGTCCAGCAGAAACCTTCTTCCTGCATGCTGCTTTCCTGATACACACATACAGCTGGGGGCTGAAACCCATCTCATCTCGGGAGGGAATCCAAATGACTTCTGACTGAGCTGAGTGACAGCTGCCACGGGGCCCGGGGGGGCTGGCTTATAGGGAAGAATGTACCCACAGGCGGTTCTTCCCATTATAATTACGATTTTGTAATGGTTTGGGGATTTCCTTTTCATTGGTCCGGGATCAAAATCAGGGCCTCACACATGAGAAGCAAGGGCTCCACTATGGAGCTCTGCCTCATTGATGTCACACTGGAAGTTAATTCGACCAATCTCTGTTCTAGCAAGAGTCAAGTGGCTAGAAGTCTGAATTTCAGTTGGGAGAAAAAGCAGCTCTTTGTACTGAGAGATCCCTAACCCAGGCAGCCAAGTGTCTCATGAAAGAACAGCACAGAGTCCACTGCAACACCTGTCAACAGGCTGTCAGCTGATGGTATAGTGACTACACCTTGTCATCCTTCCAGCCACAGAAGAAACACCACGCTTGGTGCCACAGCCACACAGGGGCAGAATGGAGACCCTCTTTATTTTATTTATTTTTTTAATGAATCACTGTGAGATACAGTTACAGACTACAAACTTTCATGATTACGTTTCAGTCATACAATGGTCGAGTACCCCTCCCTCCACCAGTGCCCATTCTCCACCACCAATGTTCCCAGTATCTCTCCGCCATCCCCACCCCTTCCTACCCCGTGCCTCTGTGGCAGGCACACTCCATCTTATTCTCTCCTTTTGGGTGTTATGAGTTTGCAATACGGGTACTAAGTAGCCATTATGTTTGGTCCACAGTCTACTTTCAGCACACATGTCTCATCCCGAGTGAGTCCTCCAAGCATCATTTACTTAGAAGTTCCTTCTCCGTCCCAGCTGACTTTTCTCCCACCATATGAGGCAGGCTTCCCAGTCGTGGAACGATCCAGAGACCCTCTCTTTAGACGACCCATCCTGACTCCTCTGCCTGAAGATGCCAATGTGTTACACAGGGAAATTAAGAAAAAAATCATACCCCAGTTATTAGGTAAGCAAACATGAGAAATGTCTACTTGAGGCCAGCGACTGTGCAGCGGGTAAGATGCTTGCCTTGCATGCAGCCAACCCAAGTTTGATCCCTGGTACCCCCTATGATCCCCTGAGGACACCAGGATTGATCCTTGAGTGCAGCCCCAGGAGTCGGCCCTGAGCACAATGCTATGGCCCCCCAAACTGACAAAACAAACCAAAGAATGCCTTCCTGAGTCGTTTGGCTAGGACAAACACTATGAAGGAGGGGACAGGTGTGGAGAAAGGTCAAATTCACCATAAAAGTGATTCTTTGGCATGTACAGGAAACGCCACCTTCACTGACCTGTCTCCCCACTCACTGAGCACACTCAGGCCGAGATGGCGCGGGACACAGGTGGGCAGCCTTGGCCGGCTGATGAGGCAGAGAGACTCTCCCCCAGATTCTGCGAAGCACAGCGGGCGCCTCCGTGGACTGGAAGCCACCTGGAAGCTAATAGCTATTTCATTACAAGGAGCCAGTTGCTTGCATTCTTTTGGCCTCTTCGCAGAAACACAATTACGAAAACAAAGGAGGCCCATTAAGTGGTTCAGGGTGTCAGCTTAACACAACATGCTTTACAGACAGGGCTCACACCGCTGTGGCTATCACTAGCGTGGAGCCGGGGAAACCTGATTCTAAGAGCGCTCTCTGCACCCAACATGCACTCTGATGGCCTTTCTCCGTGAGCAGGACCGGGCTGATGATTTGCCCCCGGGAAAGCCAGCCTACTTCGCCTGCCTGGCTCCCTGCACAGCCCCTGGGAGCTGGGAAGCTGCCAGTGGCAAAGCCCGCGTCACAAGCCACAGCTAGTGCGCCCAGGCCCACCCCTGGCTTGCTGCACAGGGCAAAAGCCGGTTCCTAGAGAGCCGTGGGTCTCGCCCCGGGCTACACAGGGACCCCTGAGCAGAGGCGAAGCCATAAAAATCCAGTCCCCCTGATTCTCACCCACGCTGGCCTATTTTTCTGAGAAGTCGGATTTTCTCATCAAAGTCAGAACTCCTCTCCTCCCTCAGACGGTTAATGAGATTTTCCTGCTCACCACGAGGCAACTCAAGTTCTCTTGTAAGATCTGGCCTTACCAGCTGTGGGAGAAAAATCGGACAATAAAGCAATAATCTGCTTCTTCCTCAAGCCTTTCTAAACCCCCTTCAGAAGGCCGGTGTCACAGAGAATAAGGCAATAACTGATTTTCCGCAGAAAGCATTGTGCTCCTTAACCAAGTGATTCCTTAATTCTTTTTTCTCCCCTCCCAGGGCTGGCGAGAAATCAAAGCCCCCCTGAAGGCAAAGCCCGTGCTAGACGGAAAGCAAACCGCGCCTGCAGAGGAGTGACTGCTGGGGCGTGGCCGGCTTCCAGGAAGAGCCAACAGCAGCTGCCAGTGTCAGGCACAAGGAACCAGCACAGCCGAGCGCAGACACAGGCACTGGCAGACCATTTGGCAGGACGTGTGCGTGCGTGTGTGTGTGTGCGTGTGCACATGTGTATGTGGTCAATTTTTTGTTTTGTTTTTCTGGGTCATACCCAGTGGTGCTGGGGCTCTGCTGTCAGTGCCCCAGGGGACTGTATGGGGATGCCAGGATCAAACTAAGTCCTCCACATTCCAGGCAAGCTCCCTTCCTGCTGTACTGTCGTTCCGGCCCCGTACTTAATTATTTAAAGTCAGTCTTAAGATCCGATTGTTATTCTGATAAGCTCTCCTGGACGCAGATATACTCAATTTCCCTTAATATGTTGACGCGGGAGCTGGGAGACAGTGGAAGAGGTAAGGCATTTGCTCTGCGTGCAGCTGCAGTGGCTGTGACCCTGATTCAAATCCTTAGCACCACATTATTATCTCCTGAGCACTGTAAGGCTCACTCCGGAGCAGCGCCAGTTACAGCCCTGACCACCACTGTCTGGGGCTCGATCCCCACCATCCCAAATAAATGAAACTTCTTTTTTTAACGTCAACACCGGCCTGCAATATGTTAATTAAGTCAGATTCAAGTGTGAGCAACTGGTGATATGCACCAGCCTCGTGCATTAAGAGATTACTAACAACAAGTCTCAAGAACAGGACGCAAAGACTGGGGGTACCAACTGCTCACCTCGTACAAATGCCGGAACTCTGATGAATCATTGCCTGCTGGGAAGTGAGGCTTAGGGTATTCACATTTTGAAAGTATTAAAAATAAGGATGGCAAAGATTATCTAACTATTTTTTTCATTCTCTTCTTCTTCTTCTTCTTTTTTTTTTTTTTTTGCGGGAGGTCCAGGTTCAATCCCCTGTACTCTGATCACATCTGGGTGTAAACCAGATGTTCTTCCTCCTCTTCTTCCTTTTATTCCTTCTCCTCTTCCCTTTGGGGAAGTGGGGGAAAAAGGGAAGAGGAGAAGGAATAAGAGGAAGAGGAGGAGGAAGAGGAGGAAGAAGGCGCCAGAGAGTACAGTGGGATAGCACCTGGGGATCCCAGGTCTCCAGTAATTTGGGGGCCTGTTGACTCACACAAGGGCTGAGGAGGTTTCAGGGCCAAGGTGTTGGGGGCCTTCAGGGCTGCACCAGGATGGTCAGGGTGACAGAGACAAAAGGAGAAGGGGCAGGGCAAGACTAGCAACAGGCCCTTACAGAAAGGAATCACAGGATCTGCAGGTCCAGCAGGGCCTGATAAGCCGGATGACCCAGGCCTTGCTGGACACCGGAACAGAAGAGAATCATCTCAGCACCCTCTCCTCAGCTAATGGGCCACATCCTTACATCAGAAAGAAATGCCCAGCCGCCCGCCCATGTTAAAGTAGACAAGGCGGGGCCTCTGGAGTCCTGGAGTCTGCCCGTAATCGGGGAGTCCCGGCCTTCCTTTCCCTTTCTTTCTGTTTTCCGAAATAATGTCTTTACTTAATTCAGCCGCTTGCTCTTTGGTCCCTTCGCTTTCGATTTTGAGTGCTTGAGGACGGGAATCTGAAAGCGCCAGCTATCTCCTAGCCCCCTCGGTGTTTCTCGAGCAGCCATGCCTTGTTCTGGGGTATCAGAGATTTTAATCCAAGACCTTGCTGAACAGGTATCGGAACATTTAGATACCCAGACCCAACTGAGAATGCTCCATATGCTAAGTTTCTCCTCTTAAAAGGGAGTAATGAAGCAAATCTCTCTATAAAACGTGAAGGGATTTACTACACACACTTCTCTCTGCAAGCAATGGGTTATTACCCAAGAGGCTATAATTATAGAAACTCTGAGTTGAGACATTATAGTAAACATTTTGTAACTAAGGGACAGAAATAAAGAGGAAATTTGTACCTAGCAAAGTTCCCATATCTCCAGCACTAATATATTTTTAAAAGGGCTTCTTATTTGTAATTACACATTGTTTGGGGGAGCCCTGGAGTTGCCCCCAACAGTGCTCAGTGCTTACGCCTGGATCTGTATGAAGGGGTGACTCCAGGTGGTGCCAGAGATGGAAACCAGGGTCAGCCACATGCAAGACAAGCACTGAACCACTTAACCCCTCTTAAGTGCTATCTCCTTAATCCCACCTACCTATCTGTCACTGTCACTGTCCTCCCGTTGTTCATCGATTTGCTCGAGCGGGCCCAGTAACATCTCCATTGTGAGACTTTGTTGTTACTGTGTTTGGCATATAGAATATGACATGGGTAGCTTGCCAGGCTTTGCCATGAGGGCGAGATACTCTCGGTAGCTTGCCGGGCTCTGTGAGAGGGGCGGAGGAATTGAACTCGGGTAGGCCTTGTTGGCTGCTTGCAAGGCAAACGCCCTACTCGCTGTGCCATCGCTCCAACCCCACATACCTATATATTTTGTTAAACTAAAGCCATCTTTCCATGGCCAGGGATGTTGTTCAGGGGTCGAAAACATGCCTCACGCATGAGAGGACTGCTTCACATGTGCTAGAGTATATGTTTTCACATGTGAGAGGCCCTGGGTTGGATTTCTGGTAATAGAAATGAAATGAACTAAAATGAAACAATCTTTTTAGTTCCATTATGTTTATATTAAATAATCTCTCATCCATGGCCCTCGGGAATAGTGTAAAAAAAATTAACTCCAATCTCTAGGGGTAAAGTAATGAAACTCAATTGCCTAGCTGTATATCAGCTGAAACTTGGTTTTGTTTATTGTTTTTTTCCCATCAGGAGGGGATAGAAGGGGTCAGGGGTCAGGGACTCTTCTCATGGATGGCCATGAGAAGCCAGGCATTGAACCCAGGCACCCAGCAAAACATGCACATGGACCTTTGAACCATCTCTCCAACCCCCAGTTGATTCTTAATATAAAGAACAATGAGGCATTGAATGGGTGACAAAACAGCTATTGAGATTATATAATTCCCTGAATAAATATTCAATTAAACATATTCTCTGAAAAGAGGAACTTGTAAAAAGAACCTAAGTGAGAAGATTAAACTATCTGGCCCTGTGATGCACTTCTTGTTTTGGCGGTGGTGGTGGGGTGCCTGCCCAACCAAAGCTCAGGGGTCCAGGGCCACACCCCTATCTCAGGCCGGAGGGTTCACTGCTAGGGTCTGAGACTCAGCTGCTGGGGGGTGGGGGGTGGGCACCGACCAGGGCCGTGCCAGGCTATGCTGGGGACCGGGATCCCTTGAATATAAGTCCGTGCTGCTGACCCCTGCACTGTCCCTTGGGCCCACACCTTCTCACAGAGGCCGCTCCTGGCCATGCTGAGGCGTTGGGAAATGCCTACTGGGGCCAGAAATCAAACTCAGGGCCTTGTAGGTCAGTTCCTTAGCTCCAGAAACATTTAGGCAGAGTGGCGCTTTGGGCCTCACCCAGAGGTGCTCAGGGGACCATATGTATTGCAGGGGAACTGAATCAGAGCCGGGAGAGTGCAAGGTAAGAACTTTACCCCTGAGGGGGTATGGTGCCGCCAGCAGGTCAATCTGTACCTGTGAGTGAGTGCCATCAGCAGCCTGATGGTGCCTTCTGACTTCCAGATACCCCAAAATTGCTGCTATGCCTTTGGCCAGACCCCAAAAACTTGGGGCAAAGTTTACCAATAAACGGCCAAAAGTTAGGTATGTGGGAGACACACCCACAAACCACCTCGGGCTCAGCTATATAATTGGAGGCATGGCCTCTCTGGTTCCTGAGAGGTTACAGTAGGTTACCGTGGCTCTTGATCAAGCCGTTTAATGACTCTCTGGCTTCTGATCAAGCCGCTTAATGGCCATGATCCCAGAGACTCAGAAACAAATCTAGGAACCGAGTGGCTTTTCGCAGAAATGCATCTGGTACCTGCAATAGGTTACCGGCGCTGGGCCACCCCAGGTAGGAATAGGTTTCGTGCCTTGGCCTGTTCCCCCTGGTGGCCCCGTGGCCGCCATCCTCCAGAGGCCACTGGACAGTCTGGTTTGGGCCCTCAATGACGAGACATGCAGGGCCTCACGGGATGGGGGTGGATCTGGCCCTTTCCACCCCACCCCAACGAGACCCCAAGTCACCACCCATGAACCGCCTCTCTGGCTCCTGATCAAACTACTTAACGGTCACGATCCCAGAGACTCAGAAACAAATCTCAAAACCCAGTGGCTTTTGGAAGAAATGCATCTGGACCCTGCAGTAGGTTACTGTCGCTGGGCCACCCCAGGGGGGAAAGGGTGTTGTCCCTCCGCCTGCTCCCCCTAGGCGGCTCGGTGGCCGCCATCCTCCAGAGGCCACTGGACAGTCAGGTTTGGACCCTCAGTGACGAGACATGCGGGGCCTCACGGGATGGGGGTGGAGCTGGCCTTTTCCTCCCCATCCCAACAAGACCCCGAGACACTGCCCACGAACAGCCTTTCTGGCTCTTGATCAAGCAGCTTAACGGCCATGATCCCAGAAACTCAGGAACAAATCTTGGAACCCAGCAGGTTTTGGCAGAAATCTCTCCAGATTTAAGTGTTAAGATTTTGGAATTTAAAAATCATGCGGCCATTAACTGCAGCCATGCGACATTGTATGTTATTCATACCCAACAATAGAAAACAAATTGTCTACTGTTGCCTTTTCAGCAGATCTGAGTGTTGGGGTAAAATAAAGGTAAAGGTAAAGGCCCTCCCGTTGATCGTTGATTTGCTCGAGCGGGCCCAGTAACGTCTCCATTGGAGACTTTGTTGTTACTGTGTCTGGCATATCGAATACTCTCGGTAGCTTGCCGGGCTCTCCGAGAGGGGCGGAGGAGTCGAACTCGGGTCGGCCATGTTGGCCGCTTGTAAGGCGAATGCCCTACTCGCTGTGCTATCGCTCCAGCCCCAAATAATAATGGTGGGTCTGGTGTCAAAATATTGAATGTGATCAAAGTAGAGAGAGAGTAATATGGAAAGCATCTGCCCCACAGGTAGGGGGAGGGCATGGGATGGAGGTATACTGGGGTTGTTGGGAGTGGAGAATGGGCACTGGTGAAGGTACGGGTGATTCATTGTATGACCGAGACTTAAACCCGAAAGCTTTGTAACTGCTCTCACGGTGATTCAATAAATAAAATTATGGGGGGGGGGGGGAGATGTTTACCCCTGAACGCTCTCTCTGGTCCCAGTAACATTTTTAAAATAAAGCATTCCTTTCAATAACCCACTTTGATTCCCCTCAACTCCCGTCCCCGTCCCTAACTCCTATTTCTCTTCTTAACAAGGTTCATGTTTGTCCTAATATACACTTTGCATATGAAATCAACAGCAAAAATGCACAAACACAGTTGCTTGGTACAAAAGCACAAAAGGCAAAAATATTTTGTATCAACAACCATATTGGTACAAAACCAAAAATGAGCCTGTGGGAAATGTACGTGTTTTTCCTTTCCAAGAGGCAAGACTGAACAATAAAAGGTTGCACCCTAGGAAACAACACTTAAATTCTTCGCTCAAGGGATCCCAAGGATCCCAGCTGAAGCAAGTGTGGAAAGTCTTGATCCAGATTACTGACACATAACGACATAAATTCCCCAATCAAAATAGGAGAGAAGACAAGGAGAAATCAAAGTCTTCTTCACACCCTCTTTAATCATTTTATAAAAACACTTGATTCAGTGATGGGCATAAGCCCTCAACCTCCTACCTCAGAAGCTGTCAGGGGAAAGTACTTCTTCTCCACGTGGTCATCGTCCTCTTCGTCAGGCGGGGGCTTTGCTGGAGGCGGTGGACGTTCCCTCTGGGGAGAGGACAAAGAACATTTCACCATGTTTTCCTCCAAGGCTCTAACTTGTTGGCTTATACTTATCCTCACTCGAAGAAAATAAAAATGAATTGGGGCTGGAGCAGGTAGGATGTTTGCCTTGCACATAGCTGACCCGGGTTTGATTCCCCACACTCCATACTGCCCCCTGAGCACTGCCAGGAGGAACCCCTGAGCATCACCAGGTATGACCCAAAAACCAAAAAATAAAGAAAAAGAAAAAAGAATTATGTAAAGAACCCCAAGCATGGAGAGTGAATTCTGTTTGCCTGTCTCTCTTTCACACACACACAAACCCCAGCATGCTTTACACATAACACACACTACACACACACACACACACACACACACACACACACACACGAGCGCGCGCGCGCGCACACACACACACACACGCACACACACATGCACACCAGTATGCTTTTTTTGGCTCTTTGGTTTCTAGTTTTTCTAGTAATTATAAATACCTTTTTCATACTCTAAATCACATGAACTATCACTAAAACTAAATAACCATTTTGTCAGTCCTTCATAATACTAGATGGAAGAGATAGTACAGTGGGTAGGGCATTTGCCTTACACTGTCAACATGAGTTCAATCCCTGGCACCCCAGATGGTTCCCGAGCCTTGCCAGGAGTGAACCCTGAGCACCACCAGAAATGGCCCTCAAAGCAAACAAACAAACAAACAAGAAACAACAAAAATCCTTCATCATACTAATATGTAAAACTAGTATAGGAAACCATTTCTCTCTTTGGGCTACTCTGAAAGAAACACTAAATCAGAAGAATTAACTTGTCAAGTAGTTCTAACAAACCAAAGTTACTGAGGAAATAATAAGCCATGAGGGACGAACACATCGATTCCTGCTCAGACTACACTGCTGTGATCTGGGTCTTAGGAAAAGTTCAGAACTGATCACTTACTCTCTGTCACCTTCTTCAATAACTACTACTACGCACAATTAACGGGAAAAACCAAAGCCCTATTTATATCTAAGCTTGTCTTTAAGAAGAGTATATGTCAGTCACATATACTCTGGACATAGTCTCTCTCCTTCCTTCCCCGTCCTTCCTTCCTTCCTTCCTTCCTTCCTTCCTTCCTTCCTTCCTTCCTTCCTCTTTCCTTCCTTCCCTCCCTTCCTTCCCTCCCTCCCTCCCCCCTTCCCTCTTTTCTTTGTTTTTGCAGAGCTAAGTTACTCCTGGCTCTGCACTCAGGAATCACTCCTGGTGGTGCGCAGGGGACCATATGGGATGACAGAGACCAAACCCTGGTCAGCCATGTGCAAGGCAGCGCCTTACCTGCTGTGCTATCTCTCGGGTCCCCAAGGTTTTCTTAAATGGCCCTACATTTTTATATGCATTTTTGGCTTTGCTATCTGATCGCTGCAGTACAAAGGTCACCACAGGAAACATGTCAAGGAGGGAGTGTGCTGTATTCCAACAACACTTTATTTACAAAACCAAGCAGCTGTTCAGAGGCCACAATTCACCAATTCCCACAGGAATAAGAAATTCACCGAAGACGGGGACATTGAAGTACTTAAATCACAGGTGTATACTTTCAGGAGTACACAAACTGGCGTTTGGGGAAAAAAAGCTGCAGAGATGCCCGCTGTTGTGCCTGCTGCACTTCTGTGTCATTTATAGTCCAGTGTCCTGGCCAGGCATTTGGATCAATGTTCCAAAAGGGAAGGAGGCCGGAGCTGGAACAGGAGTTGGCTTGACGTTCACTTCCTGGCTGTGGATTGGTTCATTATGTTGCTAGGAGCAGTTTTGAAAGAGTCAGGCCAGCTCTGTGTGAGCCCCAGGGAAGTAAGTAAGGAGAGACGGCCTCCTGTTTCAGGAGCTCCCTGGGCTAGCATTTGGCATCTACACCTTCTGGCAAAACAAGCTTGACTGCTCAGTAGCTTCCGGTTCTGTTTTGGTTCTGGTGCCAGGAATCAAATCTAGGGCCTCACTTGCAAGACACGTGCTCCACCAAGAAGCTATACCTCCAGTCCCTTGGCGTTCTATCTCGGGGTCTGTCCCTCCCACCCTCCCTGGGGCCAGATGGATACTAAGGGCAACACCTTCAAGCTAGGTTTGGATGTTCACGCCAAATAAAGCCATTTCGATTTTATTTCCCACATTCCCACTCTTCTTTGCTTCGTAAGGCTGGCGCCAGTGCCACGGGTTGAAGAAGGGAAGAGCAAAAGGAACAGACCAGGGTCTTCCAACAATAACAACCCTGGGACACAGGAGCCGTAAGAAAGCAACCTGGAGCCCAACAGCAAAAAAAGGGCCCCGACTAGAAATCTCCCAAATAGAAAGCGCCTAGAAAGAATCAGGAATACTTCGCGTGGAGGCGATCAGCAGAGACCCTGGAAGGAAACAGATGCACCCACAGCCTCTTCTAATGTGAAAATTTCGGCCCTGCGTCTGAAAGTGCAGGGTTGATTTATATGGACAATCTGATAGTGATTAAGGATCAGGAAGATCAGCACATGTACACAAGGAAAAGTGGCAATGCACACACCCCAAGATACCTCAGTTTCTACTCAGCAAGGCCACAAGGAACCTGGGCTCCTGCCCTGTCTATCGGCCCGCAGTGGGGTCCCACGGAAGGGCTAGTCAGGCTCTGCGGAGAAACCCTGAGTTCCTCTGGCAAAGCCTCCGGCGCCCTCTACTGGGCATCACCTGTAAGTACCCTTGACACAGCCTCTTCTCAGCTGGGCTCCTTCCCTTCTTGGTTCCTGACAGCAAGGCTGCCACTGTACCAGAAGCACCTCGCTTGTGGGGCTCTGCATCTGCTCACATACATCCTACCCTCGCCAGGAGTTTTCTCTCAGCCCCTGATAACACCCACTCCCTGTGGGCTGTTACGGAACTGGCAGGCCACAATCAGATGCATGATGACAAGGAGACGAATAAAAACAAAAAACCCGTGAAGAAACATTGGGCCCAGGGCGCACACAAAAAGTCCAGGGACTATCCAGCAGCCATACACCAGACACAGAGAAGAAGAGAAAGGCCAAGCCTCTTCAAGGGTTGGTGCCTGGGTCTGGGGATCTCAGGGATCACTCCTGACAGACTCAGGGGAACCGCATGGGGTGCCTGGGATTGCACACAAGTGACCACATTCAGGGCGTACAGCCTACGTACCTCACTCTCTCCGGCCCCAGTAGTCTTTCGGTGAACAACAGACAGTGCTCCCCAGTTGCATGGAGGCTTCTGCTGTCCTCTCCCTCAGATCTGTCCAGGGAACGGGGGTGGGGTGGGGATGGGGGGGTTGACCTATATCATATATTTCTGGAAGCTTCTGCCAGGGGCCTCAGAGAAGCGCACCAACCCTGAGAGCAGGGTCAGCTGTGGCCCCAAACAACCCCCACGCCACACACACACACACACACACACACACACACACACACACACACACACACACAGAGCTGTTTGTGAATTCATTTGCCCCTTTCTCTTCCTTTTGGGGCCTGAGAGCAATTGGAAGCATTTCACTTCTTTTCAGTCTTGGTAGCTTGTTTCTGTCTAAACAAAACAACCCCTGCCACACACACACCAAAAAGGAAATTATTTCAGGACAAACGGACACACACACACACACACACACACACACACACACACGCATCATTATTTCAGGACAGACACACACACATGACAAAAAGGAAATTATTTCAGGGCCAGAGAGATAATATAGGGGGTTGCCTTGCATGCAGCCAACATCATTCGGTTGCAGGTACTGTGGATGGTTCCCCTGGCAACCCCAGGCTCGCTCCTTAACACAGAGTTAAGAGTCGTCTCTGAGCACCCCTCGCTGGGGCCCCAAAACCAAATAGGAAACTTCCAGTAAGAAGGGAAAAAAAAGAATGCCCAATATTAGCACATATCGGATTAAACCTTGCTACAGTCCTGATGACAACCCAGATGGCCGATGGCTCTGAGGGTGACTGAAAGGAGGGATGGACTCAGGGCAGTCAGGACGAAATTCCAGGGAGCTTTTTCACAGTCAGGACTGCTTGGCGGAGAGAAAACAAACCCTGGAGAGCAAAGACGTCAAAGACAGAAACAAGCTACCAAGACTGAAAAGAAGTGAAATGCTTCCAATTGCTCTCAGGCCCCAAAAGGAAGAGAAAGGGGCAAATGAATTCTATGGGAATTCTCCCCAGCACGAGCTGTAAGAGTTTTACCACACGGAGGAGGAGGAAGAGAAGGAAGAGTGGCAGAATCCAGGGACGTCATGGGGCCCAGGCCCCAGGAATGCAAGTGACGCCAGGGGCCACACTTCTGTCCCACAGTGCTCCAGCGCCCGCCCGGGGATCCGAGGGCCCAGCCACGTACAGGCCTCACTCCGGCAGCTTTCATTCCTGCGGCCTCGCACTCCCTGTGGGTGGAGTCGCGGTCCGACGAGCGCCCACTGGCCATGCTGTCCAGGGAGTGGCAGGAGACGGCGTTGTACAGCGCCTCGTAGGGCCCCTCCTCTTCTGCGCTGGTGTCAAAATCCAAGATCAGCTCAGTCACTGCTTTCTCCACGTCACCTGAGAGGAGGTCAGGGGTCGAGAGTCAGAGGAAGACGCTGTCTCCGATTCCCGTCCACGGCAACGACCCTGAGGCACCCAAGTCACGGGAATCTGACAAACTCTGAGGGCAGCGAGGGAGTGACTACACTACGAGGCGGGCAGAGAGGGTTTCAGCTGCTCTTTTGCATTTTCTAGAGCTCAAGAGATTTTTCTCTAATTCTATACAAATAACCTTGACACCTATAAAGAGTCCCTCCCAAATTCTTGAGAACACCCAAACAGGGGCTGGAGCGCTAGCACAGCGGGTAGGGAGTTTGCCTTGCACGTGGCCAACCCGGGTTCGATTCCCAGCATCCCATAGGGTCCCCCAAGTACCGCCAGGAGTAATCCCTGAGCATCGCCGGGTGTGACCCAAAAAGAGAAAAAAAAAGCCTCAATATAGCGATAACACAAACTTCGAGCCCAGCGCACAGTGAGCTGGAGCGTGGCAGCAGCCTTTCCAGGAGAGTCAGCCTCTCGGTGCTCCGGCGAAGGGAGTGGGCGGCAAGGACGCCCCAAGATGGAGAAGCCGAGCAGCAGTGAGTCACTCACCGGGTAACTACCATCCCCTCAGAGAACCTCAGATCCAGATTTGTGATGCTGCAAAATTAGTAACTATTATAGAGCGGGGATCCCCACATCCCCTGCAAGCTGTCAAAACCATAATCACAAGATCCTTGAAGGCTGAGAGTTTAGAGAGCTGCTAACGTCGTTCAGAGTAGGCTATATGAGGGATGAAGGGATTCTGAGGGCTGGAGGGAGAATTTAGGAGCTAAGGGCCTCTTACATGTAGCCGACCCCAGTTAGATCGCTGGCACAAGGAGTGACACCTGAGCACAGGTGAGGTGACACCTGAGCATCGTAAGATTCCCAAGCACCACAAGGAGTGACACCTGAGCTGGGGGTAGCCCCTGAACACTGCTGGGTGGGGCCCAAGTCCCTGTTCTTCCCAAGGGACAAAGAGAAGGCTCTAAGGCTAAGGAAAAGGTGAGGGGCTGCAGGGACAGTGGGGAGGGCGTTGGCCTTGCATGTGGCCTATCTGGGTTCAATCCCTGGCATCCCATCAGGTATACTGAGCACAACCAGGAGTAAATCCTGAGTGCAGAGCCAGGAGTAAACCCTGAGCACTGCCGGTGTGGCCCAAAAACAAAAACGGAAAAAAGAAAAAGGTGGAACCCCAGTCAGATGAGAATGCAACAGTGAAGAGGAATTGGCTATCCTTTGACTTTTGATTTTTATTTCTGTTTCAGGGTCACACCTGGCGGTGCTCAGGGCTTACTCCTAGGTCTACGCTCGGGGATCATTGCTAGTGGGCTTGGGGGACCATCTTGGATGCTGAGGATCAAACCTGGGTCAGCTGCCTACAAAGCAAGCACCCTACCAATCGTTCTATTACTCCAGCCCCTCCTTAAGTCTCTGCCCCCTCTGACAAAACCCCTTCCCTTTCTGTCAGGCTCTCCCCTGCGTCTCTAGCCTTCTTTACTGTGCCTTCTCTCTGAAGAAAGGCGCCTGTCAAGATTCTGTCTTTCTCACTCTTCATACCAAGAACCAAAAGGCTGCTCGACAAATCTGAGGAGGCGAATCCTGGCTGATGATGAAGAGACAAAGACAGTGCCTGGACCCCTTGGTTGGTCAAGTGTTTAGTATCAAAAATCCGGAAGTATCCACTGCAGGCCAATCATGCTCCAGGCACTCAAGCATCGGCTAGATAAGTGATTCACTAAGATTTAAATTACTTTGTTTATTATACACCCCGGAGTAGCTCTCCTCTCTCCTTCGGCCAATGAGAAAAGTGGGGACTAAAAGCAGGGAAAGGAGAGGCCCACACTCAGGAGGGACGAGGCCCACACTCAGAGGCCTAAGCTCTACCAAGCAGACTTCTTATGCATTAAAACAAACAAACAAACAAACAAAGAATCTGAATCTAAACTTATGAAGTACTTCACAAGCCCCTGAAACGGTTTTGGTTTCGATTTCTCATTTCGCCAAACCATGTTCAACTCTTTCCAAGCGGCGGCAGGTCCCTGTGCCAGCAGAGGCGAGCTGCCTTACCTTGCAATTTCTGGGAGCTTGAGTCCACATTAGAGCTGAGAGGTGGCTGGGGTGTGGGGGTCTTATCTAGCTCTGTTGCACCTTTTTTCCCAGTCATGTGACCTACAATGAAAGACAAACAGAAAGAAGTAAGCAGAAGCTGCACCCAAAACGAAGGCTGAATCTAGCCACCTGACCCCCAGTCACAGCAGGGCGCTGGACAGATACCTTCAATGAGGGCCGCAATCTGCTGGCTCTTTTGAGAAGGCAGTTCCCGGACAGTGTCGAGGGCGGTCAGTCCGCGATTATCTTTTATGTTAACATCGATTCCTAGAAAGGCACAGCAGGTGGACCAGGACAGTGAGCATTCTCAAGCCAGCCTCCAAGAGGGGCCAACACCCGGGCACCCAGAGGCCCCGAGCAGCAGGACCAAGACTGTTCATCTCAAGTCACTGAATCGAGCCATCCAAAAACAATTCGCACACTTGCCACTGACCAGTGGAGACATACGCACACTGGGATCAAATGCAGCCAGCAAACATCCCCCTCCAGGCAGGCTCGGGGAAACACACAATCCCAACCCTGGCATGCTGTGTAGACAAGAGCACTGCCGACCTCTCACCTGCAGTCAGCAGGATTTGCACCACATCGGTCTTGCCAAACAAAGCAGCCTCATGCAAAGCACTGCCCTTCTCCGTCTGGAAAGCAAATGAGAGCGCAGAGCAGGGTGTCGTCAGAATGGTGGCCCAGGTTTGGCGTGGTCTCACACGACAAACAGGACAGAGACACCAATGGGCGGGGGGAAAAAAAACACAACATTCTCTGTCATTATCTTTCCCACCTTCCTTGTCTGCTTTCCGGAACCACGGTCATGGCCCACATTATGGTGGGTGGCTGGTGTGCCCGTGGCAAACCATAGGTGGAAAAATGCAGTTACTTTTGGAGCCACTGATCGGCCAAACTCCTCCAAACATCACCTTCCGTGGTGAAACGAATAAAGGGGAGAAAAGTACCAGGGCAAAATCCACCCTGACCTCCCGCGTGGTTTGGTCAATGTGAAGCCCAAGGGTCATTTATCTGAATAAAGAGAACGGACAACAAAGGGACAGGCTAAGTCTTTTGCTGGTGAGACCAAGTTGGCGGGGCCTTGGAGGGGCTAAATGGTGGCAGTGACAACGCATGGATAGGAAGATAATGAGACTGTTCTCGTTTGGGGAGGGGGTCAGAAGCACGTCTTTTCAGGGTGTGACCAGATCAGCCCTGAAAAGAAAACATGACAGACTCACTTGAGCTGATTTGTCTCGAAAGTTTCACATTAAAACGAGTCAACACACGGAAGCATCGGACACGTGAGGTGACGCGTGCTAGGCGCGAGCACAGCTCAGCCGCATGGGACTGGTGCCTTGGTCTAAGTGCCCAGGTCCACGTGCCCCGCTACCTGGTAGTTGCTGTCCATGCCAGCGTCCAGGAGGACCTGGACCACAGTTTTGTGGCCGTTCCTCGCTGCCAAGTGCAGAGGGGTGTGCTTCTTAGTGTTGCAGCTCAGGAGGTTGGGGTGCGCGTTGAGAAGCATCTTCACCACCTCGAGTCGCCCGTACAGCGCAGCCAGGTCCAGGGGGGTCTCGAATTTGTTGTTGCGCATGGTGGGGTCCGTGAGCTCCTCCAAGAGGACCTTCACCACCTCCGTGTGACCGTACTGCGCTGCGCAATGCAGTGCCGTCTCGTTGTCATTGTTCTAGAGAGTTAACAAGGCAGACGGCGTCAGAGAGGTGGCGGGTAGACAGGCACAGGGCAGGACGGATCCCACGTAAAACCAGTGACGTTTAAATGAGGAAAACAGCGGCACAATTTTGGAACTGGGCAAAGCCAGTCCGAATCCAGAACAAATTCGCTCCCGTATGAACTAGCTGCACGGATCCGATCAGCCACATCACGCCCAGAGATTGCAAGGGGTGGAAGTCACTTTCTCCATGTCTGCAGGGGGTTTCCCCATGGAAGAAGGGTCTCTGACAGCAGGGAAGTATGAGCACAGGAAGGGAGCAGACAGCAGGCAGAAGCCCTGGCACAGGTGGACGCCAATCAGACCAGTGCCACTGGTTCCCTTTTAAACTTCGACTGGTTTTACAATGGGTATCTCGCCAATCTTCTTATGCTTATTGCTCTGGGTTTCTTGACGATCTGGCGCCTTCCGTATAAGTTTTTTTGGGGGGGGAAAAGTTTGTCATCCGCATATTAACCAGCCACCTTGCATGCAAATCAATCAGCCACCAATAAAAGCAATCGAGCAGAGCACCAAAATTCACTGTCAGAAAAATCAGCCAACAGCCAGTCCAGGGGCGGGAGATGCCGGAGGGGGCGATGCCCCGGCCTCCTCCTGGAGCCGACACCAATCAATGCATGCACAATCTTTGGCACGGCGGGCAAAGTGCTCTGGCGTAGAAGATACGCTCAGACACGAGAGCCGAGAACGCTGTGTGTGAGAGGTGCAGAATATTCAAAATGATAACACTGCCGTCAATTCAAATTCACAACCCCGTGATCTTCTCAATGCCAATTTTGTTTTCAAGTAAAAATAAGATCTGGAGGTGCCACAGGAGAAGTTTGTGCTTTATCAACCATCAGAAGCAATATGTCAATCATTAAAAGTGTGTTTTCTCTTTGACTACTATTGAAAATATGTCACCAGACCTGGAATAAAGTAAATTCCATAGATGCATCTATGAAAAGAATTCCCCCACATGATCTTGGGATTCCTACATTTGCCCAGGAGGATTCTGTCACTACGAGTTTCCTAGGGGATGTGCATATCAGGTCAATATTGTGCACCTTTCAGTGGGCAAGAGGAAAAATGTAATGTTTCCACAATTTTAATTCTATTAATGACTTTTAAAGTAACACACTAGTAGTTACCCAAACATACATGCAATTCCATCTGCTTTTGATCTGGTATTTGACTGCATCATTTTTTCCAGCTACACCAAGTAGACCAGAAAAGTCCAGAGTTGCTGGGAGCGAGGCCCCCCAAAGGCCAGAATGACAGCAAAGAAAAATAATTGGACTGAAACATGGACAGAAAGGGTGGGAGTGGATGCTGCATGCAAAGGAAATGCACACAGATAAACAAAAGCAGCAGCAACTAGCCCCAACACACCCAGGGAGGCAGCTGCTACGAGAGCGTGGGCAGCCTTCAAAGGCCACGGAACACAGCCAGGGAGCAAAGGCGTCCCGAGACGCAGCCGGGCCCAGGGCAGAGACCCATGTCAACTCAGAAGTCTGGAGGGTGTGGGGAAGGAGCGGCCGAAAGCAGATCATTAGGTCTACCTATTTGGAGTGACCCCGTCCTGCTAATGCCTGGGCGCGCGTTCCCTGAGCCGACCCAGAGCGGGGCCGCCTCACTTTCTCACAATGGGAACAGATACAGCAGTGAAAATTCACAGCCCCACTCCAGAGGTGATCCTGGGGCAGCGTGACAACCCCCCAACATTTAAGATGATTGATTCTCAGGGCTCTGCATCTCAAGATTAATATGACAGCAGGGGGTAAGAAAGTCTGCTTATACACCCACTGCAGCAACACGAAGGGATTACCCCTGACTCTACACTCAGGAAACACTCCTGGTGGTGCTCAAAGGATCATAGCAGGGCCGGAGAGATAGCACAGTGGGTAGGGTGTTTGCCTTGCACACAGAGGAGCTGGGTTCGATCCCTGCATCCCATATGATCCCCCCAAGCACTGTCAGGAATAATTCCTGAATACAGAGCCAGGATAGCCCCTGAGCATTACTGGGTGTGACCAAAAAAGAATTTAAAAAAAAGAAAAGAAAAAAAAAAGAACCATAGGGAGTGCCAGGGATCTAACTCAGGTCCGTTGCATGCAAGGCAAGCACCCTACCCACTATACTAATCACTCGAACAGAAAGTCTGAATATTGTTTTGTTTTGTTTTGTATTTGTCTATTTAGGGGCCACACCTGGCAAAGCTCAGGGCTCACTCCTGGCTCTGTGCTCAGGCCACGCTCGGAGGACCATACTGGATGCCAGGGATTGAACCCAGGAAGACAGCGTGAAAGGCAAATGACCTACACGCTTTGGCATGGGTCTGCATATTCTTACAAAAATTTCAATCCCCAAAATTTCATTTACTCTGAAGCAGACACTATTCTTTACACCCAACCTGTTTCCCAAGAATCACAATCACGGTCCGGTCCAATCATGGTCCTCCCATTGTTCATCGATTTGCTCAAGCGGGCCCAGTAACGTCTCCATCGTGAGACTTGTTGTTACTGTGATTGGCATATTGAATACATCACGGGTAGCTTGCCAGGCTCTGCCGTGCGGACGAGATACTCTCGGTAGCTTGGCTCTCCGAGAGGGGCGGAGGAATCGAACTCGGGTCGGCCATGTTGGCTGCGTGCAAGGCAAACGCCCTACCCGCTGTGCTATCACTCCAGCCCGAAGAATCACAGTAAGATATCTTTTTTTTTTTTTCTTTTGGGTCACGCCTGGCAATGCACAGAGATTACTCCTAGCTCTGCACTCAGGAATTACTCCTGGCAGTGCTCGGGGGACCATATGGGATGCTGGGAATCGAACCCGGGTTGAGCCTCGTGCAAGGCAAATGCTCTACCTGCTATGCTATCGCTCCAGCTCCGATGTCTTCTATTTTGTAGGGAAAAAAATTACTAGAGCTTGAAGAACTATAATAAAAATATTCAGGTGGATGAGAGAAAGGTCTTGTTTTTGTTTTTTTTTCTGTTTTATGGAAATTCAATTTGCCACTACCGAGTTGCTATGTTAAAGACAAGGTCTTGCTCATTACCAAGCAAATCTCCTGCCAATGTGAAAAAATGGCTGACCACCTCTTTACTGAATATTTTCCACGGTGTAGGAAGCAGCTCCCAATGTTTCACTCTTACTAGACGTGGCTGTAATTATAATAATCCTATGTTCGGTTTTGGGGCCACACCAGATGGTGCTCATGGCTTTACTCCTGGCTCTGTGCTCAGGGATCACTCCCAGTGGGGCCCAGGAGAAAATATGGGGTACTGGGGATCAAACCCAGGTCTGCCACATGCAAAACAAGCACCATACCTACTGTATTACTTCCCTGGCTCTGACTGGAGTTTCTGTTTGTGGTGACCACATCTCCTGACTCCGTTTTCCCTCTGAGTATGACAACAGGGTCGGGAAGTGTCTGCGTATGGGTTCCTGAGAAAGTGAAGGATTCCAAGAAGGGCATGGAATCCTTCTCTTTCACACCTTCCAAATCATGCTATCATGCCATCGATGCTCAGAGCACCTCAAGATTCATCTGACTACAATGAGAAACATAATACTGTAATCATGTACGATATAATCTTGGATAAGATTCTATTGTCCAACTTTCCCCAAAGTCTTGGCACAAACCTTTCATTTCTGCCCATCTTGAGACTCACTTTTATCTTTCTTCGTCAAGGGTAACACACCTATGAAGAAAATTATCCCTGCATCCTTTGTTTCTGGGGTTACATTCAATGTAAACTCATGGTGTTTACAGAGTATATGTACATGCATATTTGTGTGTATATGTGTATTTACAGGTACATATACATATATGCATAAATGGCCACTGCCTCCCAATGCTTAGATTACTGCCCAACTGCTTTCCTGTCCACTACTGACCACTACCTTAGGGATAGCTGGGCTCCAGTTTGCTGTACAAATAATGGGAAAGACCAAGAAACATAGCAAAATTGTAATAATCAGGCAATTCTAATGGGATTAGAAGACAATGGAGAAACATGAGAATCAGTCCATCCCAAGAAGGAGAGTTACTATTCTGTGAGGCTCTGGAAGGCAGAACCCTGGCCGAAAGATGGAAGATCTGGGATGAGAGACAACCACTGAGCATTAGGAAACAAAAATTCCATGGACTCCAAGGAGAGGCTGCTAAGCAGTAATTCTATTTGTCACTAGGAAAAAGAAACAAAATAAGGGCAAGGTCCACTTTCAGGAGGAGAAGAGTGAGGAGGTAGGAGGGGAGAGAGAGAGAGAGAGAGAGAGAGAGAGAGAGAGAGAGAGAGAGAGAGAGAGAAACAGAGACAGACAGAGACAGAGAGAGAAAGAGAGGATTCTACGAGATCAGTGGTTCTCTGACCTCATTTCAGAATTACCTGGGAACCTAAAAGTAATAAATCCTAAATCCAGGTTCCCCAGACTTACCAAGATAGCAGATCAGAGGACAAAGTCCAGAAAAAAACAATTATTAAAAACCTTACCAACAATGGAGGCACCAAATTAACCCCTTACTGATCAGCAAGACTGAGAGAAAGTGACCTCATGTACCTGTGAAGCGATGCACTCGAAAAGCTTTTGTGGCCTTCCTGCCTACAGCTCACCACTGCGCGTAACCAGGATGGAAAGAGCAAACTGCAGTGGAAAGGCAGTCCTCAGGACCACTTGCCTACACTTTTCAGAAATGGCGATGCCATAAAAGATTAAGAAATGCTGAGGAATTGCTCCAGGTTGGTTAGTCCTCAATCAGATTCTTGACCAGAAAAAAAAAATTGTTCTAAAAAACACTGTGACAGGGGCTGGAGCGATAGCACAGCGGGTAGGGTGTTTGCCTTGCATGCAGTCAACCCGGGTTTGATTCCCAGCATCCCATATGGTCCCCTGAGCACCGCCAGGGGTAATTCCTGAGAGCAGAGCCAGGAGTGACCCCTGTGCATTGCCGGGTGTGACCCAAAAAAATAAATAAATAAGTAAAAGACACTGTGACAAAGTGCTGAAATTTGAATAGGAATTTTATATATATTAACTATCAGTATCATGTCAGTGCTGATCATCTGTTACACAAGCAAATGTTCTTGTCCTTAGGAGGGACACCTCTAAGTACTGGGGTTTAAAAGTCATGACACCCATGGCTTAATCTCAAAAACTGAATATCAACTGTAACAATTACATGATAGAAGGCAAATGTGACAAAATGTCAAGAATCAGGGAATTTATGGACCCTGAGAGAGCACAGCAGGTAGCAGCGAGGGCACTTTACATGCTGCAGACCCGGGTTTGATTCCTGGCACCCCATACAGTGCTCTGAGCCTGTCAGGAGTGATTTCTAAGTACAGAGCCAGGATTAAGCCCTAAGCACCAACACCAAAAAGACCAAAACAATAACAAAAAGGATCAGGGAATTTACTGCATTTTAATGAATTATTCCAATATTTTTTTTTGTAAACTGGAAGCTTTATGTATTTATTGGGCCAAGGATCAAACAGAGGGTCTTGTACCTGGAAACTACCACCACACCCCTTTCCATTTTACATTTTGGGCCACACCCAGCTGTTCTCAGGGCTTACTCCTGGCTCTGTGCTCAAAGGTGACTCCTGGCAGTTCTGGGGGACCATATGCGGCGCCAGGAACTGAATCCAGCAAGACAAACACCTTACTATAGTACTATCCTTTCAACCCCTGCAACTCCTTTTAAAAATGGGTTGTATTTAATAAGAAAAAATAATGTGTGTTTAATAAGAAACTGCTAGGTGTTTCTGATGAGTTGTCAGCTCAACAGCAAGTGGAGACAACTGATTGACATCAGCATTTCCCGACTGGCGTCCATATGTCCAGGATGTTCCATGCGGGCAAGAGCACAAGATTAGGGAGGCAACCTATAGTTTGGGGAGGTTGCCAGAAAGAAGCAAGGCCACAGGACGGGCAAAGACTGAGAAACGCTGGTCTGGAGACTTCCTAGTCCCTTCTAGCTCTAATACTGAAGGCTTTAGAAAAACAGGTCTTCCCCAAAACAAACCTATTAGTTCAACTTATGACACTGAGATTTTTATATGCTAACTAAACCAGAAGGGGGTAGCAGTGATTTAAAGGTGCTTCCCCCCCAAAAAAAACACTGAACAGACTAATTAAACAATGCTTTATTAAGCTCCACCCACTAAGTACAATTCCAAACTGCAGCTTCACAAATACTACCTTGTACATTTTTTGTAAATTAGGTATTATTAGTTGCCAGATCAAATATTACTAGTTGCCAAATATATTTACTTTATGTACATTATCTTTTTTTTTCTGTTTTTGGGCCACATCCAGCAATACTCAGGGGTTCCTCCTGGCTCTGCACTCAGGAATTACTTCTGGGGATCCTGTGGCGGCCATATGGGATGCCAGGGATTGAACCCAAGTCAGTCGTGCGGAAGGCAAATGCCCCACCTGCGGTACTATAGCTCCAGTCCCTGTATAACATCTTCTTTTCAACTCCAAAACAACCCAGCAAGTAGGATCATATATATCTTTTTATAATGAAGAAACTGAGACTCAGGAAAATGAAGTGGCTTGTTCATCTGCACAATTCACTGTGTGGCAGCTGAGAATTCAAACTTGGGCTGAGAATTCAAATTCAAAACTGAAAGACTTTTGTGAGAGTTTCCCACTCAGATTATCCCATTTTCAAAACCAGAAGAAAGAGAAGACCTGGTCTCTTCCCATTCTGAAGATTAGAAAACAGAATTTAAGAAGGGATCAAGATAAAAGCTAATGTACCTGTCCTACCTGCTGCGTGTTTGGCTGCTACCTCACTAACGCCCATGGCTGAATCTACCACAGGGCCGGGCTAGGTCTAGATTTATAAGAAGCTTCATTTGTTACACATTTCTCAAAGAAAAATATAAACTGTCTTGAGTACCGAATCATGCAGAAGTATAGGTTTTCTTTCCCTGAGGGTATTTTCAGAACAAGTGAAAAGTAGCTAATCCGAATAAAAAGTGTGTCTTAACCAAATTCCAGACTGTTGCCAAAAAGCAAAGCTCACCCAAGTGAATAAAAACTATCAAAAATAACAGGTGAGCACTCTGGGTAAAGAGGCGCCCACCGCCCCCAGCCCACGAACTGCCTCCCCCTGTGGCTGGTGACAGGCTGGGCTGTTCATCAGACCTATCAGGTCATTTCTGGTCTAAGCCTCAGAAGAAGATTCAAGGCAAATGTCTAATTCCTAAAACAGAATTTTCCATGGCTGAGCCCTGCAGGGTCAAGAGTGACCGAATAAAAAGAGGACCTATGGGTTATGGAGCAGAGGTGATGCTTTAAGGCCCCAGAAAGATGCACAGACGCAAGGAGCCACAAGCAACAACTCTGAAGAATGAAAGAGTTTCCCAGCTCTTTCCCCTGTACTTCACCAGTTAATAAAAATCAAGAGTCCACTTCAGAAGAAATTGAGATTAAAACATCAAAGTAGCCAGGGAGCATAATTAAATCATTTTGCACTTGGTTAAAAGCAAACAAGCTTAACCTCATTTCTGTCACACTTCTATTTCTACACTTTAAATGACTTCAGAAATCACAATCAATGATTATGCATATAACGTGTCCTTTGATTTCTCTTCTGCCAAATCTAAGATTTCCAAATATTCCCAGAAAAGGACCCAGCCTTTCAAGAATCAATAGCGATATTTAAGGACAAAACCAAACCCTGATTTTCCCGTTCCCAGACGAGCCAAAAGCAGATGGGCTAAAGCGGCAGCAGTTAGGGCGACAAGAAGGAGCCCGAGTAGGTGAGATTGGAAGGATGTCAGCAAGGACCCAGAGAAGCGCAGCTTGGAGAAATGATGCAGAGAAACCCTGACAGCAAAGTACACACCTTGGCATTGATATAAGGGTCAAAGGGGCCGTACTTTTTGAGTTCTTTGATCTCAAGAGCATTCTACAAAAAGGAGAGGAGAAGAAAATGTGATGATAAAATGGATGAAATATATCAAAGCAATGCATAGCCCCATGGGGCTCAACATTAGAATAACCTGGATTTGCCTTCCTTCAAAAGGAAGTTCATGAAAAAGACAACCTGCAGGGCACAGCCCTTGTCACCCCTCAATCCAGGCTGAAACCACACGGATGCCTTCTAATAAACCAAAGGGGTGCTTGTCACTACTGCCTACACCTCCATTAGGCCCTTGAAGCTAGAGCAGCAGACATCCTGCTGTGGCCCCGCCCCACCCACCTGCCTGCCAGATTCTCGGGAGGGACATGGAGCTGGTGTCCTGCCTGTCAGTGGAAAATCCAGGTGGGAGGTTGGCAGTGAGCAGGGCAAGCTCAAGCACTCCTAAGTGGCTCAAAAATCCCAGCAGCTGTGTTATAAGGCAAGAGTGAGCAAAAACAGAATTAGAAATGGTTGCTGAAAATTCCCGGAATGGCAAGGTTTTTAACAGGTGATTAGTTTTTCAATGTGAAGGAATATTAGTTAAAAGCAAATATCCTCATTGTTTCCTCGAGAGAAAAGTTAACCAATTTAGCCACGAGGAATAAAATTGCATTTGATTTCTGAAGAGGCCATTCCAAAGAGAGAATTTTCATTTCTGTGTTATAAAACAAAGGGCCTCATGGTCGGCTCATAAATGTCTGTTGCTCAGCTATGCAGAAAATACTACCCAAAAGGGAAGAGGAAGCTAATTCGCAGCCAAGCATCGACCATCTCCTCCTGAGAGATCTGGAGGTGCGGCTGGACTTCTCTCCCATCTCCGAGTGCAGCTGTCCTTCCCTGACTCCAAGTCAGGCACTTAACAGCCTGCTGAGACATTACTTGGGTTTTGTTGACAGATCAACTCCCCAGAATAAATTTCCTAGTTTTTTTTTCTTTTAGGAATAACCTTGATCTAATTCTATAAATAATTTACAATCTTCCCTCAGCAAAGTCATTAGGAAAACAGTTCCAGCTTACTGAAATTCACATCTCTCTTTCCAGCTACTGAGCAAAAAAAAAAAAAAAAAAAAAAAAAGTGGCTGCTTCAATTCAGAACAGAGGAGAAAACGGGGGAATGGCCTGTTATCAAGGGAAAGCCCAACTTCTCTCAGACCCAAACTACAGGGGATGTTCTTGATCAGAGGCTTGTCTATAACCTGAACCTTCAGGTGGAACTTTTTCCCAAACAAGTGCATTTTAAAGAATGTACCATAGAAGACTTGTCGCTTACTCAAAGGCCACTGGAAGGTATTTCTGTTCAACATTGCCTTTATTTTCTAAGACTGTCTCTCCACTGCCGAAGCATGCCCGCTCTTGAATGAAGATTGGATGATGTCATAGAAACCTCCAGTGCTCTAACCTCCATTCACACATATTTTCTGTGAGTCTTTTTTTTTTTCTTTTTTTGCGCACACCTTGCTCCCACTGCTGGGAGGCAAGTGAAGCAACAGCGGGAGTCCCCCAGGGCGCCCACACACTGTGGGGGGCCTTTGGCTCACAAGTTCAACTCCAATCCTGCTGTGCACCCAACAACTACCACCGGCCACCCGTTTGAATGGAATTTGAAACTACGCTGCTGGTTTTGCAAAGTGTTCAAACTGTGCGCCTGAAGTCTTACTGTTCTAGAAGCTGCGAGGCTCCAATCATCCTCCCAGGTTTCCTCTGTGCTAAGGGGAGCATCACTGGGAAGAGGGGCGTCAGGGGTAGGGGGCGAGGGTGAGAGGGGGCAGCCTGGGGGACCATGGCGCCCTTCCCTTCAGACCTGCTCATTGACGCGGGTGTGTGAGGGCCCTTGATGGATGAGCAGTCGCACGATCTGCGCGTCCCCTTTCCATGCGGCCAAGTGCAGCGGGTAGCAGCCTTTCGAGTCCGCCACGTTGGTCAGCGCGTCGTTCCTCAGGAGAACCTCAACCACATCCCTGGAAGGCAAGAATCAATCGTGAGTTGACAGAGCCTCGGGGACGTCGCGCAGCCACTCGCCCGCTTGGATGGCGTGGAGTCAGCACAGATGTGACCTCTGTGGGCCCCTATCTCTCCGTGAGCTCACCTCAGTGGGCCACACGCCCACCTGACGTGTCACCTCCTTCCTTATCTCAGCCTCCCAGGTGAGCCACTGAGCTTTCACTCCTCTGAGGATGTCTGGTCCCCGTATCTAAAACCTTGCCGATGCTGCCTTGTTTGCGGTGTTTGATGGCGTTCAGGGATAGAATTTACAAACGAGGAGTCTCGCAAGACAGAGTCACCCCATGTTTCAGGGCACTTGGTGATGTGGCAACTGCAGGTCTAGTTACAGAATTACAGTTGCGGCACATAGAAGCCAGACACACGTGGTATCATTTGATCCATCCGGAAGCCTTCGCGCTGTCTGCTCAGTGGCACCGCTCACTAAGCAGGTACAAGTGTGTGATTATTACTATGCACACGAGGGCAAAGAAAAGCCCGACTGTAAATACAATCAGAACCGGAGATGGACCTGGCTAACAGGCCACAGTTGCTGAAGACTTGCTTTAATTCGGGTTGCCTCAGTGTTTAATCAGGGAGGAGGGCATCCATACTCACTTATGAATTATTCATGAGTGATGTGGTAATGCAGGCCACCCCATTTAAGGAGGGGCCTCCTGCTACTGTGGCCTAAACTGGCTGTCAAAGACATAAGGATCACATGGGGATGAAGAGACAGTCCAGCGGGTAGGGCCTTGCATGCAGCTGACCTGGGTTCAATCTCTGATACCACATACGACCCCCTGAACCTCACCAGGAGTGATCTCTGAGTGCTGAGCAAGCCAGGTATAGCCCCCAAACAAAAACAAACCAATCCCCCCTGTAAGAGAAGTTCAAATGAAGGGAGCCACCATGGATCTTTCTGGCCTTGGAATTTTTAGGCTGGAACAAATATTATACAAGTGATACAATACCTGAGATGGTGAGGGCCCTGCATAGGGCTCAGCTCTGGAAGAAACTTTCTACAATGTTTCCACGAACTCCTCCTCAAAACTGAGCATTATCCTCCAACTTCTCAATTCCCCCCCCCCCCCCCCCCCCCCACACACACACACGCTCTCCTTACTCTGCTTTCCACTCTTCAATATTCTGGAAAATGTATCCCTTGCCATCCAAAACCACAATTCTCCTTCCACTTACCTATCACAGGTCCCTCACCTAAAGAGCGGCTGCCTCTTTGGTTATCAAATCATTTAAACCCATGCCTTTCTCTCTCAAATCCTCCCAGAGCACACCCTCTTCAGAAAACTACACACAAATCCCACCAGCTTCCTAATAACCTCTTTACACTACAGAGTTAAGTAGGCCATGGTATGTGGACATGCCTTCCCCTTAAAAATGGGTCTCTGTACTGCGAACCATAATGCCCAGGAAAGGGGATGGGGGGGAGGGAGGGAGGGAGGGAGAAGAAAATTATCTGCCATAGAGGCAAGTTGGGGCTGGGGGGGGGGGTTGCAAATAGGAAGTGGGGCAGGAGGGAAACTGGGAACATTGGTGGTGGGAAATGCATACTGGTGAAGGGAAGGGTGTTGGAACATTCTATGACTGAAACTCAATTTCAATCATGAACAACTTTGCAACTGTTTATCTCACTATGATTCAAAAGGAAGGAAAGAAGGAAGGAAAGAAGTCAGGAAGGAAAGAAGGGAGGGAGGGAGGGAGGGAGGGAGGAAGGATGGAAGAAAGGAAGGAAGGAAGGGAGGGAGGGAGGAGGGAGGAAGGGAGGAAGGGAGGGAAGGAGGGGGTCTCCTGGGTCAGGGAGACAGCTCAAAGGGCGGAAGCACGTGCATAAGACCCCAGGTCCAATCCCTGACAGTCCATCCCCCCCCCCCCCACCCGGCACCACTGGGCGTGATCCTGCCGGTGTCTAAGCACTTCTGAGGATGGCCTTGGTGTGGTTCCAACTGCCAGGTGTGGGTCCAACGGCACCACTAGCCTGCACTGGGTCTGGTTCTGCCGTGAGTGGCCTTGGACCTTACACCACTGCTGGGTGTAGCTCTGGTTTTAAAAAAACTGTTCTTGTTGGGAATTGAAATAGGGTGCTTGCCTTGCACATGACCGACCCAGGCTCAGTCACTGGCACTGCATATGGTCGGCCCCAGAGCATACACACAAAGAGTGATCCTTGAGCACACAGTCCAGAGCACCACTGGTATGGTCCAAAAGACACACACACACACAGAGTTCCTACTGTTCACAAGAATAATTTTATATGAGAAAAGAATGGCAATCAAAAGTGAAAGTGAGAGGCAGAATAACAACACAGCAGGTAGGGTGCTTGCCTTGCACACAGCGGACCTGAGTTCAATCCCTGGCATCACATATGGACCCAAAACCCCGCCAGGAGAGATCCTAAGCGGAGCTGGGTGTGCCACCCCTGGACCCCACCAGAAAAAAAAAAAAAAGAACAAAGTGATAAAAATTTTAGTGGAAGCATGAGCGTGGCCATATTTCTCATAACTCATGTTGTTTTTCTCAATTCCTCTGTGCCAAAGCTTACACAGCCTGTAAAAGACGTAAAGCAGAAGAACAGCCTGGGCGGGCAGCGCGGGGCAGGAGTACAGGATACTTACTTATGGCCGTTGAGAGCAGCGTGGTGCAGAGGTGTGTAGCCAGTGCTGTCAACGCAGTTCACATTCGGCCCCCTCCAGATGCTGCAGGGAGAAAAAGACTCAGGTCACACACCAAATTGAGACAGCGAGTTGCTGGAGGATTCTGGGCTATGTTTAGCCAAACTCGTTATTGTCACAAATTCTGACAAAGGAAAGCCGCGGTTTATTCCAGAAATGCACAGTGTCGAGAGGACATGATATTCATGAACAGGAAACCAAATGTCAAGCCACGGTCATCACGGACACGCTGCTTCTGTCCCTTCTCCTCTGTGACTCTATTCACAACATCTGGGACTTGTGCCTCATAAAACTCCTGGGACTGAGCAAACAGCTCATTCAAAGGTCATCAAAAAATATCACCAAACATTACGCTGGAGCGATAGTGTGACATCCCCCCCCCCCCACAAAAAAAAAAGCCCTCATTTCTTAATTCTTATTGCTGCCCAATGCAGTTAAGTTTTGTGACTTACTGCATTGGTCAGAACTTTTTAAAGAACCGTTAAAGCACTACCCTGGGTGACGGAGAGAGTATAACAGACAAGGTCTGCATGCAGCTGACCCAGGTTCAATCTGTGGTAGCTCACATGGCCCCCTGTGACCCTCCATGAGTAAACACCAAGCACAGAGCTTGGAACAAGCCCTTGAAAAACAGATGCGTGTGAACCTAACACCCCCCCAAAAAGGATTTCTATCATGTATTAAGACCTGAAGAACTCATATTCCTAAATGTAGTTACACTTGATCTTGATGAAGATCATGAACGATCGGTTTGAGGCTCTTCACATTCCTAGAACGAACAGATACCATTGGGCTACACTAGCACGCAACAGGGACAAATGGAGACGTTACTGGCGCCCGCTCGAGCAAATAGCCAATTAATGGGAAGTCAAGTGATCAAGTTACACTTAATGATGAGCCATCCAAATAGTTAACAGACATAAAGATATTCGCAGCAACACGATATATATATATATATATATATATATATTCTACTATATATAGTAGAATATAATACCCCTTTATTACTTCTGGAGAGATCAAGTAGGAAAAAAACCTCAACAAAGAAATATTGGCCTTGAAAGAAGAAATAAAAGAGATGGGCACAGTAGATATATACAAGGCACGACAGCCCCCCAAAGCTAAGTACACATTCTTCTCCAATGTACAAGGGACGTTCTCCAAGACAGACCGCATACTGGGTCACAAAGTATATTTCCAAAAAATCAAGAAGATAGAAATCATCTCAACTATCCTCTCTGACCACAAAGCTTTGAAAATGAACATTAATCACAAACAGAAATGTGTAAAAATTCGTCTTCTATAGAAAAAAAAACTTGAAATTAAATAATCAATCAGTAAGGACTTTTGGAAGGAAGGAGGAGAGGGAGGGAGAGAGGGAGAGAGGGAGGGAAGGAAGAAGGGAGGAAGAGAAGGAAGGAGGGAGGGAAGGAGGGAGGAAGGAAGGAAGGAAGGAAGGAAGGAAGGAGGGAAGGAGGGAGGGAGGGAGGGAGGGAAGGAAGGAAGGAAGGAAGGAAGGAAGGAAGGAAGGAAGGAAGTAAGTCAGGCAGAGGCAGGCCAAAAATTCAAGGAGAGAGTTGGGGAGGGGAAACGGGTGGATAGGGGATGTTTGGAACCTTGGAGAAAAGGTGTCACTCTAGTGGTGGGTTTGGTGTTAAAATGATGTATGCATGGAAGTATCAGTAACAGTGTTTCATGGGACTGCGATAAAAAATAAAAAATACAAAAAATAAAAATATGTATACTATTATTTAGTTAGGGTAGTCTACATTCCACATTTAAGCAACTGATATTGTAGTCAACAGGTTTCTTTTTTTTTTTTTTTTTTTTTTTTTTTTTTTTTTTTGCTTTTTGGGTCACACCTGGCAATGCACAAGAGTTACTCCTGGCTCTGCACTCAGGAGTTACTCCTGGCGGTGCTCAGGGGACCATATGGGATGCTGGGAATCGAACCCGGGTCGGCCGCGTGCAAGGCAAATGCCCTACCCGCTGTGCTATCTCTCCAGCCCTCAACAGGTTTCTTATGATTGGGCCATTCTCAAGTGGGAGAGATAGCTCAATGGGCCGAGCACATGCGCAGAGGTGGCCTGGGTTGTTCCTGGAACTATATGGTCCCCTGAGCACTGAGCTGTGTGACTCCTGATAGCTGCCAAATATGGGCCCCAAGACTATCTATATTGAACCCTTCTTTACTAGTTATTCATATCCTTTATGACCAAGTTGGTGATTTTTGCTTGAGAGCTTCTACTTGAGTATTAGGATTTTCACAAGTGAAAATGAGTAATTCATAAGACACACTGAAAAATTTTGGGGCTCATCCTATGGCTACTGTAGCAATCCGTGTTAGGTTTGGGACTGATGCACTGGATAGTTGTATGCATACCCCTTGGTCTATTTAGGAATCACAGACAAAACACTAAAATTATAAACAATCACCAGTGAAACCACGGAGTCCAGAATCTTGATGCTCAGATGCTGGAAGCAGCATTATTTGTAACATAAAAATGTGGATCTAGCCCCCAAATATCTATCAATAAAGGATTATGATAGCCTAAATACACAGATTCTCACATACAACTATACTGCTATGTAATAAAGCAGAAGACATTATAATAAAATATTAGGAGAAAAAGGAAATAAAATTGTAAGTACATCAGATTTTGAGGAGGGAGTCAGAGATATACCGCTGGACAGGCGGAGCATATGCTTTGCATGTAGGAGGTCCAGGATCAAACCTGGGTCCTGCTTATATGCCCCATTGTCCCCCACGAGCACCGCCTGGGGAAACCCCTGAGCACCGCCGGGTAAGGTCCAAAAACAAAAAATAAACAAAAACTAATTTAAAACATCCTATGAGGAAACCTGGCACTGCTCAGGGGCTGCTCCCAGTGCAGTGCTTGGGATCGCTCCTGGCAGTGCTCGGGAGACCATGCAGTGCCAGGGATTAAAAGTGAGACCTCCCACAGACACAGCATATGAGCCCTCTGAGCTATCTCCCCAGTCCTTCGTGAGGAAATCTTTATCAGGACTGTGGATAAAGCTCACAAATTCGTTCCACCTAACTGTGTCAAACTACATGAATTAACAGAAACAATTCTGTTGATAGTTAGATAATAGATAAGCAGATTGATTTCAAGAAAATATGAAAACTTGCCATCAAGTAACTGATAACATGAAGGAATTCCTTCCAAGCACTAGGCAAGGTCAGATCTACAAGAGATACAAAATAGAAAAAGCAAATTAAAATAATCACACAAGGCTTCTCACCTATTACACTGACACAAATGAGGGTAATTATATTATAAAGTGTTTAGAAATACTGCAGAAACAAGCACTCTTAAATATTACTGGTATGAGTTTAAATTGGTGAATTTCCTTAGGGAAGACGATTTGGCAATATCCACCCAAACCAAAAATAGGTCTTTACTCTGAAGCAGCAGTTTGACTTCCGGGCAACTACCCAACAGAAACACTTGCACATGTGCACAGACACCCATGCTGACACAGGATCACTTCGCTCTAAGAGTAAAAATTAAAGGGCCAGGGGCTGGAGAGAGTATAGGGGATAGGGCACTGGCCTTGCATGCTGCCAACCTGGGTTCGGTCCCTGGCATCCTATGGTCCCCCAAGGACTACCAGGAGTAAAGCCAAGAGAAAAGCCTAAGCACCTTGAAGTGTGGCCCCCAAACAAAACAATCACAATCACAATCACAAATCATCCTGTTAATCGTCGACTGCCTCGAGCAGGCCACAGTAACGTCTCCTTCATCCTAGCCCTGAGATTATATTCAAGGCTCTTTATATTCAATATAAATATAGATTATATTCAAGACTCTCGGCAGAGTCTGGCAAACTCCCTGTGGTGTACCCAATATGCCAAATACCAGTAACAATGATGGGTCTCATTCTCCTAAAGAGCCTTGAAAAAAAAAAAAACAACAAAAAACAAACTTAAGGCTCAGTAAGCTCACTCGGAAGTTAAGGGCACACGACCTCAAACTGCACGCCACAGAACCAGCCTCCAGCACTCTACAAGAATTAACAGAATTACTGAGGGAGCAGCTAGGGTGGCCCCCAGCTAGCCCTGAGCAGACAGTCCAATGGGTCCTACCATTGAACTTTCTGCTCATTTGTCCAAATATTGCTGGGAATGGCCCCCTGGCACCTCAGAGTCCCCTCTCCCACAACAGTAAAATCTAAATGCCCAGGGACTGGAGCAACAGAAAAGGGGTTCGGCACTTGCTCACATACTGCCGGTATGGGTTCAATCCCTGATACCCCATGTGACCTCCCAAGCCCAGCAGGAGTGAACCTTGAGTGCAGAACCAGGAGTAAACCCTGAGACCACCCAGGTGTGACTAAAAACCAAATCAAACCAACAAAACTAACCCTAAATGTCCGCTCACATTGGTAAAGAGTGAAAATATCAGGTAGAAACCAAAACTAGATTATTATATAACCACCATCATCAACAAAGGAAGAGAGACTTTTCATGCATATCCTGATAGAGTCCCAAGATGATAGTGTTCTATGGGTACAGAGAGATGTCAGAGTATGTACACATATATATCTGTACATATGCGCATGCATGGGTACGCGCGCGCGCGCGCGCGCGCGCACACACACACACACACACACACACACCCCTGTAAACTGTTAGAGTATTCACTAAGAGTTGACAACGGCAATCTCTGGGGAAGAAAATACCTAACGGGGTCTCTACAAATGTGAAGAGGGACTTTCATGTTGTTTCAAACAGAATGAAAATATACTTATACATTGTTTTTAATAATACTTTTCCAGGGGCTGGAGCAGGCAAGGCTGGTTCTGTGCTCAGGAGTCACTCCTGGTGATGCTGGGAATTGGCTAGAGTTGGCAGCGTGCACGGCAAATGTCTGAACCCCAGGACCGTCTCTCCGGTCTCTTATGTCATATTTAAATCCATGGTCTATTTTGAGTTCATTTTCCCCCTTTGGTGTTGGGCCACACCTGGCAGTGAGCAGGGGGTCACTCTTGGTGCCTTA